GACAAACATGGATGCCTCCAGTAAAGCACATTCACATGAAAATTACTCTGAATTAAAAACACTGATTATTTATTGAACAGGATGGAATCATTTCAGATTTAAAGAACTTTCAGAAGTTTGAATTCTGAATATGAGCGAACCTCTTTAAATTATTCCTTGAGTGAGCTAGCAGCTAGCAGACATGAGGATTCCATTAATTGACTTATGGTCATAATTTGGTTATCAAAATGTAATGAGCACATAAGAAAACACATGAATGTTAACATCATATCAGTGTTTAAACCCTTAATGAAATAAACCTGTTTCTACCTTTATAAACAACAGCTCAGTTATGTTAGCATATCGTACTATGCCGTCCATCCTGTTAGCTTTGTCTTTACTCAACATTAAAGACATGAAATGATCAGAAATCCACAAAGAAACAAAATATTTGGCTATAACTCTCCCTGACTTGTGCCTGACCTGTACCTCTACCAATATTCGTTTTTGGAAAACTTAGTCGGCCATACACTGTTTGATTCTTTGCCCTTTTCTGGCTGATTTTTCAGTCGTGACAGAGCGTAGTAGCCACGTCTGCTCAGCCATGTCTTCGTCCAAATACGTCGTCTCCTTTTCTTTTTAGGGCTTTCAGCACAAAGTTGCCCATATATCCAAGGCAGCGCGTTTCACTCTAGTGAGCTTCATGTTCCTCTGCTACTTGTTTGGCTTCCAGATAGACGAGTCCGACTAGCGCCATCTCACTGCGGAGCTGAGTCTCACCTGGTTTTTAGACGTACAGTGTGAGCAGGTAGATCGCATCAGAGCATGTTGAGCTGTGAACTTTTAAACCCTTTGGTTTCATCGTAAAGTTTGAGCTGTAGCTGCGTGAAACAATTGAAAAAATCCCACAGTGTAAGCCTGGCTTAAGTTTTCTCCCATCTTTAGCAGCTTAGCATGGCAGGATCACAGCCAGACACACATCAGGAGAGCTCTCCACCTTAACTTTGTAAAGCAAAGTCAGCTGCAGAGCAAAGCTTAAAAACTCTCCTGGCATACATTTTGCAGCGTTTTCATGCATTCGTGTGGACGATCACATTTATTTTAGGTCTCCGTCTTTACGACAAACGTTCTGGAAAATATTAGCGTTTCGTGTTCGTTTTGACTTCGTGTGGGCGGGGCCTAAGATATCCCAACATGTTTTTTTTTTAAGGGTTGGAGGGCACCTCCCCCTAGCTCTTATAACTATTGGGGCACACTAGCCTTACACGTAAACACACAAAACCGAGAGCTAGGGTCCAAAATGAGTGCAAGTGAGAGAAATGGGGCTGGGCCTTTATCTTCCTAACCCAATGGATATGGTTAATATAAAGCATGGCCATTGGTTCCAAAATTATTATTGTTTGGTAAAAGTCTAAAAATCCTGAGGAGCTTTTTTTTTTAAAATTTCAGCTGCCTTTAACCTACATCCTAACTCCTGATTGCAATACATCCCACCTTTTGAATGTTGTTAACTGTTATGTTCTGCTCCTCATCTTCTGCAGCTCTGTCCTATCGCTGGTACTTCAACGAGTTCCCAAACTTCATTAGGAAGGACGATGGCCGCTGGTTTGTGTCACAGGTCACGGGGAACCTGTACTTGGCCAAAGCAGAGTTGAATGATACTGGGAACTACTTCTGCTTCACTACCATCAATCTGGACATCAGCACCAAAAGCACCTTCAGCAAAGGCAGCCTGCTCACCGTAATGCCAGACGGTATGATCAATGAGGTTCAGATCTAACTAAAGCTATTTACCTGTGTAAATAATTTTCTGACAGCGTTTGCAGTGAGACATACAGTAGAAACCTTCCTCTGGTTTGTACATGATGAGGAATGAAAGATTTTTTCCAAGCACTA